GACCTGGCGTGAAGTTGAAGTGATACAGTATATATATATATATATACGGACCTGGCGTGAAGTTGAAGTGATACAGTATATATATATATACCGACCTGGCGTAAAGTTGAAGTGAAGAGCTTCCTCTCCCACTTGTCTGGGTGATCCTCTAGTTTTACATCCATGTACAACTTCTTATTTTTCCTGTATTCCTTTTTCCAGAGCTTTGGATTTACCACCACCTTAATGTAGCGTCTTTCTCGGCCTGGTTTGTACGTCTTGTCATCGCCATCACTTTCTGGTTCAGACAGGGTGGAATCGTTGTCCGAGGTGGATTGATCAGAGTTTCTCAAGTCCTTTCCAAGCTGCTTTAACTTCCTTCTGACATGCTGGTTCACTGTCTGTTAAACATACAAAAAGACAATGTATAGTTCAACATATGAACATGCCATATTATTAATATCTATGTAGCTCACAACGACCATTCAACAGATATGGTCATAACTAAATCAGTTTACCTTTTTTTGGATTGTCCACACAAAGTAATTATACTCAAAAAACCCTTCCTCAATGACCATCGTCCTCAGTCATCATATTGTGTAATGAACAATGTATATTCATTTACAAGAACTGACCTGGATAGTTTTGTCTGTGAAACGTTACCAACATCACATTAATGATGTCACAAGCGAAATGTTGTCACAACCACCATAAACATTAATATTATTGTAACCATAGTAACAATTACCATGTTGGTACTATGATCACAAGGAAAATCTGGAATCCTGATTTATAACCTGACGATTTATTATATACTATTGTGGTTACTGCTGTCATCTCTGTATGCAGAAAAGAGTTTGTTTTATATATACTTGCACCATCACAGCGATACCATCATAATTTTATCATACAAAATTGTAAATATGTTTTAAGGCAAATTAATGAAGTCAGTTCCATAGAACCATGCTTTTTTTAATATTTTTAAGCCCTTCAGTGAAAGAAGATTAATTGTTGAGGTCAAAGAATGTTGCATAATTACATCGAAGCACAGTGATTATGTCACGGAAGACATGAACATGAGACCACATACAAAACCATGAACCTAATACATCAACAGTACACACTGTGCAATGGAAAACAAATGCTGAAATTCAATACAAGATTCTAAAGAATAGAACTAACTAATCTATATCCATAATTTGAAATTCCTTTCAATATAAACAAATTTTACTAATATTTTCTTGTCCCAGAATCACTGTTCCAAACAAACCCACATTCAAAATAACTGTGATGTGCTGATTGACCAATAAAACAGTGTCACAAAATGGTCACATGAGATTTAACTCAGTCACATGACACAAAACACAATCACATGACACTTGAGTCATGTGACAAGAAACGCAGTCAGATATGACAAAAAGAGTAAAATGACACTTAACAGTTGACACTAAACACAGTTACACGACTCTAAACTTTAACAAGACATTAAACAGTCATATCACACTACTTGACAATAAAGAATAACAATGACACTAAACAAATTACACTTAAAGTTACATGACACTAGTGAAGTGACATGACATTTAACACAGTTACAAAACACACACCACAGTGACATGACACTGAACACAGTGACATGACACTTAACACAGTGACATGACACTGAACACAGTTACATGGCACTGAACACAGTGACCTGACACTTTACAGTGACATGACACTGAACAGTTGCATGACACTTAACACAGTGACATGACACCGAACAGTTACATGACACTGAACACAGTTATATAACACTGAACAGTTACATGACACTTAACACAGTGACATGACACTTAACACAGTGACATGACACTTAACACAGTTACATAACACTGAAGAGTTACATGACACTTAACACAGTGACTTGACACTTAACACAATTACATGACAATGAAAAGTGATATGACACTTAACACAGTGACATGACACCGAACAGTTACATGACACTGAACACAGTTACATAACACTGAACAGTTACATGACATTTAACACAGTGACATGACACTTAACACAGTGACATGACACTTAACACAGTGACATGCCACTGGACAGTTACATGACACTAAACACAGTGAACATGATACTTAACAGTGACATGACACTTAACACAGTGACATGACACTGAACACAGTGACATGACACTGAACAGTTACATGACACTGAACAGTTACATGACACTTAACACAGTGACTTGACAATTAACACAATTACATGACAATGAACATTGATATGACACTTAACACAGTGACATGACACCGAACAGTTACATGACACTGAACACAGTTACATAACACTGAACAGTTACATGACACTTAACACAGTGACATGACACTTAACTCAGTGACATGCCACTGAACAGTTACATGACACTTAACACAGTGACATGATACTTAACAGTGACATGACACTGAACACAGTGACATGACACTTAACACAGTGACATGACACTGAACAGTTACATGGCACTGAACACAGTGACATGACACTTAACACAGTGACATGACAATTAACACAGTGACATGACACTGAACAGTTACATGACACTGAATTAAATAGAACTCATAACACAAGAATATGCCATGACATCAAATTTATTGTGATTCATTTCTATTCACAACCATGTAAAAGTGCTAAGCTATATGGTGGACTGATCATAAACAAAAATGACAGAATATAGACAAAGTCATATACAGTTTGTGTACCCTATATCACATAGAAGTTGCTATCAACAAGCTACCCAAAACATTAAACTTATTACAGAGAAGATCCCAGACAAACAGGAAGTTGTTTTTCACCATATTTGTCTATTTTCAATTGAGTTAACAAACCTTTGTCAGGTCAACAAGGGAAGGTTGCTCAAACAAAATTTACAACCTTACATCCACAAACGAGAAAAAGTCAGTAAATGCTAATGATCCCATGCTAATTAAGGTTTCTACTTGCCAAATTTCCGTAAATAATTAGTGACGTTGGCCTTGATCTTGGAGTCCTTAAATGGCAGCTCATTTAATATATTTTAAGCAAAATCTGTTAAGAACTGAATTTACTACAGTGATGCAGTGGATACAGTGTGACAGAACAATAATTTAAGAAGCGATAATTTGAATCCTAACAATGGACATTGTTTTTGGCAAATACAAAATGTGTTATATATACCAGTAAGTAGATGGGTAACTATGGCAATATTTAACTTCCAGCTGTTTGTCAAGGGGATGCTCTATATAATCACACTTGAGTAAATGAAGGGTTGTAAGGAAAATATAAAGCAATTCTGTTTCAACCAATGTAAATTTAAATCTAATATATATAATTTTGATAACAATAGTAAATGAAATTGTACATGTAATAACAACATAGAAGTAAAATTTGGTTTTAATAACTTCCAAATCAGCAATTATTTTAATAAAATGTTAAATAATTAATTTAATACTCTACCAAGTGCATGTACATAACTATGTGACAATCCAAAATGGAAAAAAAAGGTTAAGATGGTCTTCTGAAACTGACAGTGCACTTTATGGTAAGTCAAATATGTATATAGACTATATAAAATATAGCAATTTCTAAATGGACAAAAAAAAGATCAATCATAAAAATAGCACTAACAAAAAATACAAGCACCAAAAGTAAGTATAGCAGCCATCAACTCCACAAAACCAGGTACCATTGATGCTAAATGGCAGTGAACACTCCTACTATATTATATCAATGTTGTAACATCCACAAATGGACAAGGCAAATTATCTTTTCCCAGACACTCACTACAATAATCCACCATACAAGGAGATATTCACATACAAAATCTGGTAATTCTATCTGAAATATACGAGATATTTCCTGAACAATGTAATTTTAATTAAAACTATGAAGAAAAGGGCCAAACACTGTATCTGCATATAGTTCAGCATGAAACCTAATGTCAGTCTGTGACAGTCTACATCCTAGGAGGTACATGTACCGTACTCACAAACAAAATTGGATCATTGTAGGCCACAGAGTACCCATTACTCATAAAGTATGCCTCAGACAATGTGATATACAGTGAACAACATCAGGGCTATAACTTTTTAAAGAAAGGCATTAGACTTGATTTTAATATGCAACACTCTACCATCCCAACAGGTACTTGCTTACATTTGACATCTGTAGGTGATACCCCAGACAATATAGTATACAATATATCTCCTGGACAGAATGTTGCATGGACGGAAGTACCGATTGACCGACAGATTGAGCATATACCTGTAGTACCCACCTGTATTACTGATGACGGACCAGTAATATATACAACCGTATTATACTACTGTTATAGAAACAGAAATACTGATATCCTATGGCTAGAATGTGTATGATTCTTTTGGTTACAACATTATTTCACCCTTGGATGTTACGTGTAAATATAGAAATACATCATCTCAAATAAATGTTAACAATCATGTGATTCCTATTTTCTTATCCCATCTGAGCACAGCATTTATCAGAGCTTTTATACTGATTTCAGTGAATTAATGATTGAACCGTGTTAAATTGAATGTGTTTGTCATGTGGCAGATTTCTAGATAGATTTCCGTATCGCTCAGTGGTAGAGTGTCTGACTAGGAAGTCGGGGATCGGAGGTTTGATCTCGGTGGAAGCACACCACTCTCTTTCCTGTTATTGTCATATAAGTTAATAATCAAGAACGTTTACATGTAGTGAGGTGGATACAATGATTTATCCACACGGATAAGATGTTAACCATTGTATTGCAGCTCTGAAGCAATATCATCTTCTTCATGTGGTTAATCTCCCTTGAAAAATATTGGTTATTATATTATCCTTATAATACTGCACTGGCTTATTCCTAAATCCATTGCTCCGATCAACTGGAGTTATCCTCCCGGAGTTATCCTTTCGGAGTTATCCTCTCATAGCCTAACTATAGGAAGTATTAAGATTCTGTAATGTTGACCACCATAATGGTGAGCACAGTTATGCTTTCATCAACGACAGTTACACATGGGCAAAGTTAACCCAAGTATATACAACTTCCATGCTTTTCCAAAAACATGTTCAGATTTTTAAACAGAATATTTATGAAGCATTCACAGAAAAAATACTGTAAATTTAACAACACCTGAGTAATAGTTCATCACGGAGGATTTTTTTTTTCCTTAAATAGCTCCATCATTACTTTCAAATTTTGGATCAACATCCATAAACACAAGAAACTTAATAGTGAACATCTGGCATACAACATTATAATCAAACTAAATTGTAATTACATGTAAGCTTCTTTTCATTTCTCATGATTCAGCACATAAACAAATTAGATTATGCTCAAAAAATGCATATGACAAAATTAAACAAACATAATGACAATCTCCTCATCTCCAATCTCAACACCACTTTCCATCAGTTAACGCCCACTTTCCATGGATGCGTTGAGAGAATCCGGTTTAGATGTTGCGGTGTCTTTTACAGCCTTCATCTTGCTCAGCCTTCCCTTTCTTGTGCACTGGTCCTTGACCTTTCCATGTTTAGTGACCTTGACCTCCGGTTTGTATTTATGGACCTTTTTGTTGTGGAGGTTGAGGCAGCGATCATCCTTGAACAGGATACCACATTCCTCACACAGGATGCTCTGTGGTGACACATGGGCCCGCATGTGGTCCTTGAGCTGGACATTCCAGGCTGCAGCATAACTGCACTGGTCACAGCGATATGGCTTATCACCTGTGTGGGTTCGCATGTGTGATGATAACTGGTACGACTTCACACAGGAAAAGGGACACAACTCACACCGGAATGGATGTACACCTAGAAAAATCAAATGTCACAAATGAAGTACAATATATAAACTCAACACTTAAATTCAAGAGAAATTTAATTTTCAACAAAGTTTGTTATAAGTCTATTTCAATCAAAGGTAGCATAAACTCATATTGTTGCTTTTTATATCAATACTGCTTCATAGCATAGCTCATTTACATAAAACAGCAATAATATTTGTATTATTGTGAAACACATGGCCTATGGTCACTGCTATGAAGTAGCAAAAATTGCAAGACCTGAACTGCTACTAATATAAAGGGATAGCATGTAGGATGTGGTCTACACATACCCTGATGCATCATCATATGATTGTTGAGTGCTGTGCGGGCAAGGGTGGTATATGGACACTGGTCACACTTGTATGTGTGCACACGTAAATGGATCCTCTTCACATGATGTGCCATCTGGGAAACGGACAGAATGCGATTACAGTGTGGACAAGGGACATTACTCTCCTCCCGTCCAATACACATCTTCGACTTGGCATGAGCTGCAGCTGCCTTACTACTCAAAGAGATCACTCCACATTTTTCACACTTAGTTGCCTCTCCTCCGTGAACTTGATAAACATGCATCTTGACCTCGTCTACAGATGAATACCTCTCTGGGCACTGTTTACAGGTGAAGAGTTTGTGTCCGTGAGCTTTACACAGGTGGCGCTTCAGTGTCGTGCTGGTAAAGAACTGCTTGGCACACAGTTCGCAGGTGAAGTTTGCTGTCCTGTGGGTTTTCTGACGGTGCTCCTGCACGTGGATGGCCTGGCTAAATGTCTGTCCACAGTCTACACAGGTGAGACGGCCGGACAGGTGCTGGGCCAGGTGGTCTTCCATGGATGTACGGTCTGGCGTGTTGTACTGGTACATACCACAGCACAAACGACAAGTAAACCGCTCAAAGGACTTCAAACCAACCTCAATGTTCCTGTCCTTCTTGTGAAAAGAAGTGAACTGGGTTACTTCATACTTGTCCTTATGATCCTCCAGCTTTATCAGAATTTCAGGAATCAATTTCTTTTGCTGTTTCAGTGGTTTAGTCCTAGGCCTGCCTTTCTTTGATACTGTGTGACTACCTTGTTTGATGTCACCTGGGGAACACATTTTTGCAACATTTCCAATGTTTCCAGCTGCACACTGTTCTTTTAATGTTACACCACTTTCAGCACTTTTATCAGTTTCTTTTTTACTCTTTGCCTTTTTTCTCTTGGATTTATGTGGACTTTTCATCAGCCATTCTTCTATCTTTGCCAGACCAGTCTGTTGTTTGGAACATATCAGCATTTCAGCAGAATTTGGACGACATAAATCATTATTATTTAAATCAATGCCTTCACCAATGCTACTGCTTTTCAGAGTGTTTAAATTGTTATTTTCATCCACCAATTTCGTTAATGCTTTTTGTTCCAGCGCATCACTCAGGGATCTTGGCATTCTTGCAGTCATCAACTCTGGGACTTGGTCCTCCGATTTGCCAGTATCAGAAGTCTTTTTCTTACTCTTTCTTTGGTTACCTTTCGCTTTATTGTTTTTGTCTAGATTTTGTTCTTTTAGATTTTGACAGGATCCAACCTCCATTCTCTCAGTCCGTCTGTTTTTCTTTTCCTTCCCTTTCTTTCCTTTCTCATTCTTATTGAATACATCAGAATCACCTTTGGCTATTTTGTAACTCTCGCTCATTCCCCCGCTGGTAGTCATGTTGTGCTGTGTTATAACACTGCCACTTGCAGAATCAATCATACATGCTGATTGTTTCTGGCCAGAAAATGTTCCAACAATTTCTTTATGTTCTGAATGTTCAAAAGTTGCAGCACTTGCTCGACTTTCTTGTCCATGAACTTTCTCAATGTCCTGTTCATCATGAACACTGAAAGAATCCTTGTTGACTGCAATCAAAAGACTGGACTCATCTGGTATCAATTGTACTGGTCTCCTCATGTTTGAGTTCTGCTGTGACCACATCATCTTGCTTTCTTCTATCTGAGGACCTGGCTCACACTTCTCCCTCAATTCCTGTACAACGAACATCTCTGCTATATGATCTGGTCCATGTCTCCTGTTTGATCCTTGTAAAAGTTTTGTTTTCGCCACAGGCTCTGGCATGTAATTCGTCTTTGATCCTTGTTCAACAATTCTGCTAAAACTTGTTTTTATGTCTTCTCCCTGTACAGTATATGCTTGCACTAAGACTCTTCTATAATCAGCATTGATACAGGCTTGGGTGGCATGGCTGTTTGATGTAGCAGTGCTGGTTGGTGTAGCAGTGCTGGATGGTGTAGCAGTGCTGGTTGGTGTAGCAGTGCTAGATGGTGTAGCAGTGCTGATTGGTGTAGCAGTGCTGGTTGGTGTAGCCGTGCTTGTTGGTATAGCAGTGCTGGTGAATGTAGCAGTGCTGGTTGGTGTAGCAGTGCTGGTTGATGTAGCAGTGCTGGTTGATGTAACATTGCTGGCTCCTGTAGCAGTGCTGGTTCGTTTTGCAGCATTTGTTAGTCTGCAAGTCTTGCTGACAAATCCAGCATTCAGTTCACTACTGCAAACTTGTCCCTTGTGTTGTTCACTAGTTCTTCTGGACTTCACAGAGTTCTTGCGTTGCCTTCTGACATTTTTATGGCTGGGACTCTGAAAAGATAATGGCATACAAAAGTCATTAAATACACTCTCATTGTAATACATTTACACAGTAGGATCAGTTAAGATTAACATCTTCACAAAATAAAAGACTTCAACAGAAAAAGATTCTTTAATTTAGGAATTTAAATCTATGTCCATCATGATTTTTATTTAACAGGCTTTAAAAAGTTTCCCAAAATAAAGATGAAATGGGAACAACTTTTGAGTTTCTTTTTATTATAAGCTCAACCAAAGCAAAGCAGTGTTTGGCTGATACATGATATGACATGGAAATATTATGTGATGGGACTCTCAGACTAGAATAAAGGATAAGGTAAACTTGTAAGGGATGAGGAGATTATTATGACAGATACAATGAGAAACCTTTAATGGATGGGTTGTGAGTTACAGTTATATACACATCTAACAGTGTCCTAGAGTATTGTATGACCTTGAAATCGGCTTCATCACGTCGTTCATCAGAGTCAATGTACTTACTGTTTCCTTAAAGCAGCAAGATGGGTTCCGACAGTTGTGACAGCCGATCTTACTACACACACAGCTGCGACACTTCCCCCGCGACCAACACTTACAGCAGTACTGTAGGATATAAGATTCATCTCTTACACAACTTACATAGCTTTTATAATGATTTTTAAATTCAAAAGCCATTTTCTCACTAATTAAATATCAGAATATTAAAATGACTGTATATTACATAGTTTCAGCCGATAAATTTTCTGGTTTTAAATTTTCAAATGGTCAAATTGACTTCAGGACAAAGGAAGTTCTCCATTTTTAAGCCTTTATTTAGGAGCTTCGTACTTTAAAATTGGAAAGACATTTTAACATAGATATTGACACAAACAAGCCTATATCACCATATGAGAATTATGATATTTGATATATTTTGTATGAAATATACTCACACTATCACAGTCCATATTCCTGTGGTCAGTCGGTTGGTTCACTGACTGTCCGATGGTCAGTCCCTGAGCAAGTGCGAGACTTCTGTCAACAAATTTCACAACATTTTTCTGTTCAAGGGGTGGTTTTTCTGTGTATCCTTGATTTGACCATCCTTTACCAGACATTTCCAGACTCCCATGGTGACCCCTGTTCTCCTTTCTACCGTCAGTCAAACCAGCAATTCTAGTTGTTTGTGAAATTCTAGACTTTTTATCTGTTTTTGACATTGCAACACCAGGTATACCAAGCTGGATAATAGCAGCTGGGTTTCCATTGCAGTCCTGTTCTGACTCTGCTATGTGATTTCCACAAAGCCAAGTTTGGTTGAAATCATGCTGGTACCTCAAGATATTTGCTTCATTATCTTTGAACCAGGACTGCCTCCAGTTAGCAGGTGCTACAGGCTGTGAATTTCCATCCTCAGGAGTTTTACAATGTTCTATATTTCCTGCAACTCCATATTGAGGATATACTGCTTTATTTACTTGGAATGTTGACCAAGGATCTGGATTTCCATTATGAAGGAATTGTTTCTTTTCTGTGCAGAACATTCCATCAGAATTTCCCACCCTTCCTTCTGGAAACTTCACATTCCCAGGTAGGCTAGCTGCGTTTGAATATGAATTCTGAAATCCAGTATTCAGTGTTCGATACGTCCTCTCCAGATTTCTGCCAAACGGTGCCATATAGGGTCTGAACAGCTCCTTCTCATGTGTAGACACAGATACTTGTTGATCTGAAAATCCTGGCTGTTTCTTCCTCAGGAGATTATCAAAATAAAATGGCTGTTGACAATGAGGCACTACCGACGCATTAGGAGGCTGTTGATAATGAGGCACTACTGACGCATTAGGATTCGGTTGATAATGAGGCACTGCTGACGCATTAGGAGGCTGTTGATATGAGACTGTTCCTGATCTACCAGGCATAAAATGTCTATGAGGCATAGCAGGGTAAGTCTGTACTAGTGGATGTACATGGACACTAGTACAGGAAGTGCCAGATCTTACAGATGGCAGATGACAATTGTCAGTTGCAGGTACCTCATTAAGTTCAAATTCATCACAGCTCCTAAGCATCTGGCTCAGAACTGCATAATCTTTCTTGGTCTTTGACTTTTGCTTCCTTGAAGGATTTTTGCCGATGCCACCTCTTCTAACATGTGTTTTATTGTGCACAATTGAGTCAGACACGCAATCTGGAAGCTGCGCTGATCCAGGAGATGTGGGCCAGTGATTGGTGTATGCAGTATTGTTAGTAAAATCTCTTGGAACTACATCAGGCACAGGTTGGTAATTGGTATTTACCGTAACTCCTGTAGCTGTAGGATGTGTCTCTCCTCGTGACAGACTCCTATACTGTGGTGTGTAGGCGATGCAGTCAGGCTTTGGCAAGGCACGTTGTCGCAATAGTTCTGGTATATTGTCAGGTAGACGCAGATTTCTTAGAACACCTGGTGCCATAGTAAAACTGGGGTCAAATTTTCTGACATTTATCATTCCATTGTCAATTTCAAGATTGTCCCTCAAGATTGTATGATTACAAGACAAATCCAAAGGTACATTATTATCACTCTGATTGACAGTGATACCAGTGGGCCTAGGACGTGTTACTTCCACTGAGTCCATAGGATGGTCAGCCTGACCACTGGACTCACTCTGTTTTAAGTACAGTTCACCACTGTTACCAGCTCCGACTGTCTGTGGAGTATACATCATGTGCATCAACATCCTCTCATGAACATCCGGTTCTATGTGTCTATCAATGCTGGCATTGTAGAGGTCTTGCAATTTTTGTGGGTTTGCACCGGGCATTCTGCTCATCTCCTGGCTTTCATTCCCAGTGTGTGTATACAGCCAACCCTTTTTCCTGTCTGGTATATCGATGTCTATTTTGTAGTGGCTTAAGTCGGAATTTACCCAACCTCTGTCTCCATCTGATTTAAAGCTATCCTGAATTTCATTCCCTAGGTAGGGGTTTAGTATTTCAGCCTCCTTTTCTTGCTGTCTGGTAATCCTAGGCTGTGCTCGAGATCGGGATTGATTATTCTGCCAACAGACACCTCCCTCCTGCTGGAAAAAGGGACCCACTGACCTGGCGGTTGCATCATGGCTGCTGTTGCCACTCTGTGGCCTAGTGTGTGTTGTATGCTGGTATGTACTATCATTTTTCTGCTGTAAAGTGGCACAGGAACCAGTAATGTTGATCTGATGACAGACACCAGTCTTACTCAAATATGCCTTATTGTTATGTGGATCAACACCAATTTGGTTTGCATTTTCATCAATTTCCATGTTTCCAGGACAAGATCTGCAGAAATCTCTTTCGTCACCGATACGCACATTGTTATGGCCCTGCTTCAGAAAATGGCAACAAGGATTGTTAAAATTTTCTCCAACTATGTCTACATTCCTTGTGTTACTATCCCTATGACTTCCCAGTACAGAACAAATGAGGGACGAGTCGACAGTTGGCCTGGAGAGAATTTTATGATTCCCCTGGCGGCTACAACCCACAACAGAACTTTCTTGCGCATCAAGCTTCATCTCAGCTTCAAGGTTTCTATTATTGCAAGAATTGTTCCATGCAGATGGCAAGTAATTTGCATTTGAATCATTCCCTGTGACAGAATTACTGACTTTTGATGGTTCGATGGTTAAGTCCAGCGGTTCCAAACAAAGATAATCCTCCGCACTAGTATATTCATACTCCGTGTCCACGATGAATAACTCAGGGGAATCACACTGTGTACATTCATTGTTATTTAGATCTGTTTCCTGCATCTCTACAACAAGATCCTCTTTGGTGTCAGAGGCCTGGTGTGTCCACACCACTTTAGACCCCGACCCCAAGGATGATACTTTGTTCACCTCATCAGACTCGGTCATCTTCCCTATCATGTTTGTTGTTCCTAAACTCTGGAGTGAGGTTAGTGTTGATGAGGAATTACAACACGTTTCCTTGGCTTCCTGTATTCTGTGTGTTAATGACCATTCTCCTACCTTTAGCGATCTTAACGTTGGCGAGCCTTCTCTCCCCTCTTTTTGTACTGCTGTTTGCAATCGTTCTTGGTCTTTCTGTGGTCTTGATGCTGATGAGCTTACTTTGACCTCTTGTGGCCAATTTTGTGATCTTTCTTTGTCTTCTTGTTGTATTGCCATCTGTGACAATTTTTCAACCTGTTGTTGCCTTGCTGTTTGTGACCTTTCTTTGACATGTTCTTGTAAAGTTAACATTTGTGATTTTCCTTTCTCCTCTTGTTGTCTCGATGTATCTGACTTTTCTCTGACCTTCCCTGGTCTTGTAAATAGACCAATTTTGTTACTTGATGATGTAACTGAAAGTGACTCGTCCATGTCCTTGACCTCTAGTGACCCCAGTAAAGGTGAGATTTCAATCCCTGGTGACCTATCCACAGGTTTCAGTGACAGAGCTGACAGGGTCTTGACCTTCAAGGAATGATTTGGCTCTGTTGAGGTCAAATGAAATGGAGGCAATGAACTGACCTTGACCGACTTATCATGACTTGAATATGATTGATTTCTGTAAGAATCTCTATCAAAAGTCATGTTTTCCACTAAATTGTTTTCATCCCCATTTTCATGAAAATCCTCATCATCATCTTGGATTTCAAGTACAATATCTCCCTCACTGCTTGCATTGCCCTCATCCTGGTCTTGACTCTTTAGCCACACAACTTCTGTATATCTGTCGAAGTCTATGTCATCTGTACACATCAGATAGACCCTGATCCCCTCCTCCCGTAGGTCAGAGTCACGTTTACACATCAGGTACAACTCCATACCCTCCTCCTTCAGTACACATAGTACACAAACATCCTCCTTCACCCCTGATATTCCACACATGCTTTGATCCCTGCCATCAGTCACACACTGATTTGTGGGTGTGAGAGTATCTGGTACATTGACTACATCGCCAAAGGGAGGCAATCCACTGATCATCTATAATAAAGAGAAACAATAATTTGCTGTAATCATTGTGAATTTTTCTATCTAATAATTTAATATACAAAATTGATTCATAATTGATTAACAGCAATTATAAGTTACTAATAATATGTTTGTGTACAATAAATTACGAATAAATGATATTTAGAATGAGCCTTTATAAGCAGGTGGTCTTAATGAACAAATGGAAACTGCAATCAATGTACACTACGTTTCCTACTGTGACCTTTATGAAGCAAGACTGCACTCAGATTAGCTCAGCTAATCTATAACTGTTTATTAATTGGTCTTTAAATTTTCAGAATCAAATGGATTTTGTTTTATTTTCTGATTACAAATTCATGACTAGATATTGCTTATGCTACATTTAGCAGAAATGAATATAGTATAAAAGATATATTTCTCAGATTCAGACTTACTAACATTTGAATATTCAAAATGATAACTGAGCAGTTCCTCATTTCTTCAAATGATGAATTCTGATTTTTTTCATACAGGCACCTTTGATAATGATGTCCAAAACTGCGTTAGGAATGACACTTTCTGTATATCGATTCCAAGGATATTGTGGGCATCATTATAAGCTTACATACTCTCCAACAATGACAATTATTTTATTTAAACAAGTTAAACTGTCGTGAGAGGCGAAGCTTAAGCCTTTCTGCAGAGTGGATTCATAAGGAGCAACAAGCACCAAAGATGGAAGTTGGAAAGTTTTTGTCAATGTAAATTGCTTGTTAATCAAGACATCCTACAATACAATCATGTTTTAACTGCATACATAATTTCTAGATAAACAATAGGTGTACTACCAGCAGTGCTTCAGAGACACTGAGTGGCTTCACAAGCGCAACTGTGTATAGACAGTTTAGAGTTACACTTCTAGCTATTTCTGTAGTGTTACATGATAATATAAAGACTAGAATTACCGTTATGCATAGACTGATACACCCAACATCAACCATATACCCTAATTATTGCTGTCTACAATGCCTTGAACCTTCCTCTTTTATCTATTGCTTGAATAGGGAGCACATTAACACAGTAATTATTTGATTACAATCAATTGACACAATTACTAGGAAGGAGGATGTTCATTCATAGTAAGATAATTGTGATTTTTATTCATTGGATAAGTTGTAATAGTTAAAATTGAACTTTAACCGATCTATGCTATGGAATATCTTCAAGAAATAGACTGTTTTGATAGTTAATTAGTTAATTAAATTAAGTGCCATAACTCGATTAAAAAGCAAGTGGAAGGTGTCACATGCAAACATTTATTAGATGAAGATCGTGCCAATTTTCATTAAAATCAATTTAGTAATTAAGAAGTAGTCTGAACAAAATTGTATATCGTAACAGACAAATGATAGACAAATATTATTCTTAACTAGGATTCACTCCCCTTCTACTCCATCTTTGTTGCATGGCATATAAAAATAACACCATGGAGTGATGCAGGAATGGAACAGAATTTGAAAATACTAGCCTGACCAATGTTTTCCTTATTGTAAAGCCCCAGGTAATCGACTAGTGAAAAAATAACCCATGTATGTGGTGGTTTTTTTCAAGAAATTCAACTCAATACAAAAACGCCTCATAAGATGAGGCCTCCTCTGTGTCACCTGAGTTTATAGCTAACAAGGGGGTGGGCTTAATACTGGACATGGGCTTATTGACAGTAAAGTACAGTATACAGAATCAGGCCCACCACGACACACAACGTACACGTACCTAGAATCACACTGTGTACTTACCTAATTACCACACACGCAGCAACGTCCTCTTCTTCATAATTTTAGAATGTTAAATGTCAAAAAATGAACCGCAACACATAAGAGCTTGAAAATAATCAAAGAATTAATTTGATAATATCTGTACATTTACTTTATAATTAAATTTGTAACTTTATCCCTCTTATTACGGAGCTATTTCTATGACCTCTGTCAATGATAAATATCAACAGATACTGAAATGTAACCTATATACATGTAATTCAGATTATCATAGTAACGTTGGACCGCTTATGTTATACCTATCCTATAATTATCCTTATAATTTTTTGGTCCAACAAGGGCAAGTTTTAATACTTCAGAACTGAATTTGCTTATTTCAGTTTTGTTCCAGATATATAAATACATTATATCCTATAAACAGTTCATCAAAACTAGTTTGCACTGTTTGTGAAGAAAATAACATCTGAGTAGTTTTTCAACAACAATATTCTGAGAAAAAAAATCAAATGACCAATCGAAATGTTAAAATGTTTTTATATGCTCATGAATAAAATGCAGAAGTTATCTCCCTTTGCAAAAATAAATTTAACGAGTTTCATTGTTCTAATAGAAAACCTTTTTTTTCTTTTTCGTTAATGATCTTTTTTCCTAAAACAGAGATTAACAAAATAAGCCATTGCACATAATAAAAATATGTCCATGTAGTATCGCATAATCACAAAAATAGCATTATCTGAAACACCACTTAACAGACAGAAACGTCTAATTCCTAGACTGCCATACATGATACATGTGACTTTTCAAGGTACATTATCATATACACTTACACATACGTATATTTGTCAAAAGAAAACTCTTTTGTCATTAACCACAACAAATTAATACTTTTATAAAACAAAATTCTGTCTCCAATTGTTGATGCTGAAAATCAAACAAATTGATATATCCTACTTTTTAAAAAAAATCTGGTTAAGGTTTTAGTACATATAAAATTTAAAATAGGAAACAAATCAAAATACCGGGTACACATTATTTGCAATATTGGAATAAAGTGGCTGAGGTAAGTATGACATGTGCAATATCATCAATTAACAATGTGCATAATCTTAAACAAATAAAATCAATAAGGATTATGTGAAGCAATACCATATCCCATCTGATAATAAATGTACCTGTCTATAAAAACACCCCCCAAATATAGGAGCAGTTATAAAATGACAAGTAACACCTCGCTAGTCTAACCATCCTCCTAAATCTTCTCGCAGTTTCTGTTAGCACCCTAACTTTTGTAATCCTATATTGGCTCAAACATATTGATGGAATAAATCTTGTATCCCTTCAGTCAAACCCTGATCAATTACGAGTTCATCGGTTCCCTGACTGTAATGTTTCAATGTAAAATCAGTGATATTATAATCAGCTTTTCCTTCCTTACTATGATTCCATTCTGTAAGCAACATAATGTCACCATAGGTCTAAAAGACCTGTAGTTCTTAGCTAACATTAACTCTCAAAGATAATTATTATAAAACACAATAAGCAATATATGGTTGTAGCTTTTCGTTAGGGTAAACGTTTGTATTATTTCACAAAATCCACTCTGATATGTAAATTAGGCAAGTGTGTCTAATAACTCTGAACTTTGTGCAATATGAAATTTTTTAATTAAACTTGGGTGTTGTATGTGAGAGAGTCTGAGACCACCAAATCTTAACCCAGGCTTCACAAAACATCCTCTGCCTGAACCAAGGTGTTTTTCTCAGTTTGAAATTTTAACAGATGTAAAATATAAAAGGACTATGCCAATATAAAAGGACTTTGCCAGTATAAAACATACCTCTCAGCTAAGAATATTTGGGAAGCTGGGACAAGAAGTAATGAGCCCTGTGAACTAGCATATCTTCATAGTAAAACTGACCTGTTGCCAATCCTCATCACTGGAGTCGGTGATGTAAGACGTGCTTTCCAAATCTCCTATATCCTCTACATCTCCCAGCTTCATCTGGCAACGCTCAAAGTAACTCGTCAGGTCTGAATTTTCGAGAGCATGGCTTTGACGGAACTTGATACGAGAACTGAGACGGGAACTGCTACGAGTGACAAGTTCTGCAACAGCAAGCTTGGCGTTTCCTGACAAATCAGCATCAGCTGCTTCCACCTTGCCATCTTCTCTCCTATCCAACACTTTCCCCACTGAGCCATCATTCATTGGAGCTTCCTTTTCTTCATGCTTGATTTGTTCAGCTGCCACATCAACAGACAAATCAGTGTTTTCTATTGATATGTCTTTTTTCACCCACTCAGAATCGTCACCACTGGACTTCTTCCGGTCTTCTGATTTCTGCTTTAACATGGCTACATTACAGTCATATTCCCATTCTTTGTTTTTAAGAAATGTCCGACGTCTTATTGATTTCTTCATTTTTTGTAGCGTCAACCCCTGTTTTCTATGCTTCACTATTTCAGTAACTGATGCCATGTTTGATCGGCGCCTTTGCTTCTCTTTGGACGGCGCAAATGCATATTGGTGGTCCACAGGGTTCATGGATTTATCGTCATCCTGGGAAGTTTCCCCTGTGTTTACCCCAATGGATGAAGTCCGTCGGCCAGTCCATTTCCACATGGGTCTTGGCACAGTAAGTGGATCCAGAGGTGGCTGTGTCTCCAGATTTATGGAATCAACATCTTCTACATCCATTACAAGGTCTGTATCCTCTGAGTTTGTCGACACCTGTCCTGTCAGGCTTGTTGAAGTAGCACCAGAACTGTTTGCTGGAGTCTCCTGAGACACATCTTCCCCAGCTGTTTCAACATTCGCCAATGAAGTGTCCGTCTGAATGGAAGAATCTTTCACCATCACAGCTTTTCCAGACACCATTTTTTTCATAGATGGATTATCTTTTTTTGTCTGAGTAAAACCATCACACATAGCTGGTTTCTTTCTGACTGGTGTCTTGGTGACTTTTACTAATGATGACAGGGGGACTGGGTTTGAGGAGGCAATGAAATTGTAAGCTGTTGATGACGATGTAGCAGGGTTCTGGGTAGAGGAAAGATCTGTTTCTTTTCTAGTCTTTTTACTACGTTTCGATCTGTCATCAAACCTGTAGATTACTCTGTTAGGTGCTTTTTGAATTTTCTTTTCTTGAGCTACATTGGGCATCAGCACCATTGTAGTTTTTCCAGTGTCCTCATCAACTTCTTCAGACCATTGAGGCTGCATCACTTGATTCTTGTCAGACGATAGGTTGAGTTTGAGATTAAAACCTTTCTTTTTCATTGGGAGCTGATTTGTTTTCATCAGCTCGAGATTTTTCTTAATTATACCATCAATTTTCTTGAGCACGAGATTTTTCTTTTCCTGGTCCTCCTCATCATTTTCTGCAGTTTCACTGGTGAATGTCACATTTTTATGGTTGAGGACAGATGACAGAGGAATTTCTTTACCTTCACAGGATGACATAATTGGTGTCTTCTGAAGCCGAAAAAGCTTCAGATTACCTGCCAAGGGTACAACATTGGGTGCATTGTTTATATTGTTCAGCTTTATAACCTTTACAACTTGATTACTGCCGCCTACACTTTGAATGGTGGAGTGGTCTCCTTTTGGTAAAGCGTACCATATCTTCTGACCACTCTGTAGAGTAACAGGACGCCCACCTACCATTATAGATGCAGGTGTTTTTGGCAACTTTGATGTACTAGCCTCCCGTTGGCTCAAAGTTTCTCCTGTCATAAAGCGATTCCTAATGGTAAAATCTGGTGTGAAGTTATTGACAACCTCATTTCTGATGAGTTTTACGGGAACTGGCATATTTGTTTCCATGGCGTTTGCATGTCCTTCATCATTAGTGAGAGGTTCTTTTTTTATCCATGAAGTAGTATCGGTCTCATGAAGTCCAGCATCTGTAGCTGTATTAGCTAGATTGTGTTCAGAGTAATCCTCAGGCTCAGTCTTCACCAGGGAGAGATCCAGCTGACTGTTGTCGTTTGTAAGGCTCCCCACTTCCTTGTGTTCTGGTCTGGCTCTTAAATTGTACGATACCTGAAAAAAAAGCACAGTTTAAATTGTTTCAAGGAGGTAAAATCACAGGAGTAAGACACATTCATGTTGTAAAATGTCATACACTTTTCAAATATAACTATCCTTTGTAAGCACCTTGACCTTGTCTATACAATAAAAGCACCTTGACCTTGTCTATACAATAAAAGCACCTTGACCCTGTCGATACAATAAAAGCACCTTGACCTTGTCTATACAATAAAAGCACCTTGACCTTGTCTATACAATAAAAGCACCTTGACCTTGTCTATACAATAAAAGCACCTTGACCTTGTCTATACAATAAAAGCACCTTGACCTTGTCTATACAATAAAAGCACCTTGACCTTGTCTATACAATAAAAGCACCTTGACCTTGTCTATACAATAAAAGCACCTTGACCTTGTCTATACAATAAAAGCACCTTGACCTTGTCTATAGAATAAGAGCACCTTGACCTTGTCTATACGATAAAAGCACCTTGACCTTGTCTATACAATAACAGCACCTTGACCCTGTCAATACAAAAAAATGATCTTTTTAAGTAGTTGTAGTAAGCCTAAATTTCTACATTATGTAATCCAGCCTGCTTGAAACAAGCCTTTGTCTTTTTATAAATAAAATTTAACTGGAAGATAGTGCACCCTAATATATGTACCCATACATCCTCCTATAATCCCCAACTCCTGCTTGGTGTAAAGTTGCCAGTAAAATATATAATAAAAGTACACGTTTTAATTCAATATTACTTGTTACAAACTATCTGGAGATGAATTAATTTTTCAGTGCAAAACCTGGAAGTACCAAAACTATTACCCGATAGATCAAGAGAATCTGGGGCCACCTAATGTTTTAAGCTCTCAACATAAAATAATCACAAAGATAAGAAGCTCCATTGTGGATAAGAAGCTCCATTGTAGATAAGAAGCTCCATTGTGGATAAGAAGCTCCATTGTGGATAAGAAGCTCCATTGTGGATAAGAAGCTCCATTGTGGATAAGAAGCTCCATTGTGGATAAGAAGCTCCATTGTGGATAAGAAGCTCCATTGTGGAATGCTTTTACACAAACAATATGTAACAACAGTTCATCATAGAATTGCTCAGATTTTCATCTATAATCAATACCAATTTTACTAAATCCATGATTATAAATGTATACTAATGTGCTAAAAACATTTGAAAATTGCCCTATTGCCACCTGGACCCAATGATTTAATACCAAACAATTACTGATATTTCCTCCTTTGTCTATTTTGCCCTAGCTCTGTTCAGTTTTTCCTTTCTAATATTTTCTAGCTAAAGTTTGTATGCTTTGGTCTTTTAGTGTTGTATTATATATATATCATAATTCACAATGTGGTCAATCTAAGTTTAATTTGTTTTCTGACGTTTTTATTAATATGAACCAACCTGATTTTCAGGCATCGTGTTATCACCAGACACAGGAGAAGAGCTCAAAGCAGGGGAGATCACTTTGCGTTTCCTTGTCACCTGCTCCAGAACTTTAGTTTTCTTTTGAGAACTGTTGATGAGTTTTCTTGACCTTTTCTTGAATTTTCCTGTTTTAGTTCTTGGTAACAGAACTTGTGTATCCAACTGACTCTCGTCATGCTCTGTTGATTCCTTTGTCACTTTTTCCAATATTGCTATCGATTTTGTTCCTGGACTTATATCTTGGCCAAGAATTCTTCCAGGCATAAACTCATCATTATTGTGGTCATCTATAGATAAAATAATCAGAAATACAATTAATTCACAATACAAAATCAAAAACCAAATATATTAATGTTGTGTTTGAAATTCTATCTTCCCTCAATATTTGTTCGAAATGTTCAGTGTATAATATATCTTGGGGATGATCTTGTAGTAAATATATGTATATGAATTGTTTCGTTATCTTTTCATTGCAGTATAATATTGTTTTTTTAGGATATAAATTAATACCTGAAGGAAGACAGAATGAAACAATGTTTATCATGAACATATCAATACAGTAGTCTAGTGGTAGGACACCAGGCGCGTGACCGAAGGGTTGCAGGTTTGTGTCACGGCACGGCACTGTGTTGTTTGTCTGAGCAATATGCCGAAATAGCTGTACTGGCTGTATGCTACCCAAGTAGTTGATAAAGATATTGGCTGGTTGCAAATGCCCTATAACCAAGGATAATAATTTGTGAACCGCTTTGAGACGACCTACCAACTAGGTTGTGATAAAGCGGTATATAAGAACAACAAATTATTATTATTATTACATATGTAACTCCATCCTCGATATCCAGGGGTTACACACCCATTCGCTCTCTACACCCCTGAAATATATCAAAGCAAAATTGAAGGCATGCAGTAAGCTATTTGATTTGTCTCGGGTAAAAAACCTGACCAATCACTAGGCCTGTCCTTTGAAGATTACAAAGGAGCGACGCCCGATTTCAAAGCCAGTAAGTTGTACTTTGTGATGAACATCAAAGGATAAAACTAGTCATCTTGTCTCATCCACAAGTACACTGAGCCTTCATTGTTGCTATGACATATTCCAGCGGTGCAGAGAGCGTAAGTGAGAGTAACCTCTGGAGTGTCAAGGATGATGCAACTCATTATCAGAGGTGAATTAAGTGTACATATGAACAAATATGTCGGCTTGATTAACATAATTTGTTTTGATCACCTGAAGCTATATCAGCTTACCTGCCTCCTGTTCTGAGACTTTGGTTTTCTTTACAACATATACAGGGACAGGTTTAGCAGTCTTTTTCTTAAATCTGTCTGATTTAAGCCTAGAACTATCAATCTCAGTCTCTTCAAATTCCTTTCCTTCGTTGTCCGAATGTTCTTCTTCCACGGTTCGCATAAACATTTTGCCATGTTCTGTGGAGACAAAGAGGTTGTCATCTTTTGCAATCTCAGATGGGCTGGAGTCAGGGTAACCATCCATCTTTGGTTCCTCTTTTATCACGATATCTGGTTCTATTTGAGGTTGTGTATTGATGACATCAGAGCTTAAAGAGTCGTTTGTGTACAGACTCGTCCCACTGTCAGAAGGAACACAATTACTGATGACATCATCACATTCTGTTGGGAGACTAGTCATGTTTGTAGTCTGTTCATTCATATCTGTGATGTCAGTACTTTCGGCATCACTAGCAGGATGTGTATCATTATTTGCTTCAGCTTCAGAGTCTGTAGGAATTCTGCTTTCATTGCCTTCAATGAATTCTGTGTTTTCTAAGCTTGTTTTCTCAATAGTGTTTTCTGGGTTTAAATCAGAATCGGCCAACTCAGATGGTCCAATGACATCCACCACTTCTGTTTTGTCAGCCTGCACATTTTGACTGGTGATGTCATCAGTTTTTGTGTAGTTTTCTTCAGATTCTATGTCTGAATGTTCATCGAAGGAAACCTCGCTACTGTCCGACTCCATGTGAAAATCTTCTTCTTCCTCACATTGCTCTGACAATTGACTTGAGTCTCTCGAGTCAAGGTTTGCTTGCATTTGGTCATCAGGAATTTCTGTGTCCTGTTTTGATGGAAAGGGTGGCCACGGTCCAAATGTTATTTCTACATCACTGTTTTCATCTTCACTATCGTTGTTTGTGTCTGATGAATACTCCATTTTCAGATCGGACTCCGTGGAGACGGTGCTACCTGTTGCCATCAAAGTATCCTCCATACCGACAGAGTTGGCCAAGTTGGCATTATCATTCACAGGATTATGGGAAATATCTCTGGTCAGTGTCTACTGCTTGACTTATCAGTGTCACATTCCATCTCTGCAAGAAATCAAGAAGTCAAAAAATGTATCACATAAGTCAAATGTATGATTTACAGTTGAATGAATCTTGGCTCAAATTTTTATTATAATTTGTACTTAACGGTCACATGCAATTCTGTAGCTTCCATTTCAATAACTTCATACTGTAGACGATATTTATAACAATATGATTTAACACACTAATATTTGTGACCTTAGCTTATTTACTTATTCATGTTTTCATATCACTATCAGGTAGTGTCGGAACACTACGAAGGGGGCGTTGGGGAATAAACACGGTAATGTCATAAATGATGTAATTATTGTTCAAGAAGCAGTCATTATTGTTATTGCCTGAGTATAGGAAGAAGTTATAGACACATGGAAGTAATTAATGACTCTACATAAGAAATCTTAATGAAATACATAAACAACATTCCTCTGCTATATAATACTGAAGTACTTGTATGATAAGTAATTGCTCATATACTTAAATAAAAGTTGATGTTCTATTTATAAAAAATAAAGAGTCGGTTGGCTAATCTGCTATGGAGAATTTCACCCAATATATATCAAATTATTTGTATGGACATTTCTTTGTTCCAGAAATGACCAAATTCAATAAATGGCTTTTCTCATGTTTTTCAAGTAAAAAACAATTTTATATTTAATTCTTTTGTTATTGGAAAAACATTATTTGTTTTTAGTTTTTGTTTCATATTTAATATTGTTTTAATAAATAGGAATTAATTTAATCAATATTTTTTAATAGTACAGGTAATATTCATGTCTTTGCAGCTGTAAGAAGCATCCTAAGCCCTGGGATGATTTTTATTTACACTGTATCAATGTAGTAACCTCCAATATAGATATTACATGTACCAAAATGTGTCCTCGCTTGTTCTGAACATGTATTAGATAAGCTTATGCTTGTATATCAAACCATTTGAGGCAATTTCTTTTTCATTTTTTATTAGCGTAACAGGCTCTGGATCGCCACCACTGGTTTTAAACAAATTATGAAAATGCCTCAAATGATAGCTGGACTGAGGGCACCTCACCCCCTTAACTCTTTCAAGGATTTTCCGATTTGTAGACATAGTACAAGCTGTGAATCATGTCAGTTGTTGGGACAAGTGTAAATATCGCATCAATCATTCATTTGCGTCGAATAGTCGAAAAGTCTGACCTGAAATATTAAATTCGTGTTCATTTGTCACCTAAACGTTGTATTGGGGTCATTCGAGGTAAAGAAGTTAGAATTATCTCCCTTACATCAAGAATTGAACAGGACGGCCTTAACTTTGATAATAAAATTCCAAATATTGTCCAAACCATTCATTATAATTATATTTGACAGATATGAATGATTACACATCTAATTTATGACAAATATATCAGTTTCAGTCGTATTTGGAAGGGTGTATATGTTCTACACCTAGCGTAGCACTGTAACGTAACTCGTAAGCTTGCATGCATATGGCAGCTAAGCGAGTCTACAATGAACTATTACGGCGAGGCAAACAGGTGTGCGTTAATTTATATACCGTTGTGTGCTGTTTTAATACTTACAGTAGGATCAAAAACATCGTCAGAAACCTTAATTAAACCATATCCTCTTCTACAGTGACGTCTTCTGGACAACTAGCTCTCGGATGAAACTTTCATTCATATGGAGCTTTCGTACCTTCGACAACAAAGAGTGCTCATACTGTGCGTGCTGCTCGTGCAATTTATTCGGACCAGCTACCTCTAACCAAGTGCAGTAACTAGTCAGAGCGTTTCAAACCCATTATCTTATATTTTGTGGTTGACGATGTTTGTTTACGAAAATGTGAGACTATAAAACAAAACATTATGATAAAATGTGAACACTGAACGAAGTTTTCAGTAAAGCCTTAAGGAGGTACGTACCGGTAGCGGTACATGTAGCTACATTGATGTACATGCATTGTGGCTGTACCCGTCGCAGTATATGAATAAACATGATGGCATTCATATCTTTAGGAAAAAAACTAACAAATGTATCAACTCTTTAATAATCACGGCTATTTTCACAATTCAATCAGATTTAAAAAAAAAAAAAGTCTCTATGGAGGCAGGGACTGACTTGAATTAAAAGACATGAACGACGTGCCGGATACAGGGGCCAATACAGAGATTAAATAAATAGAAAATTGCTAGGGGTATGGTAGGGAAGGTGGCAATATATAATGTATTAATTTCATTTGATTTATTTATTTTGGGGAACGTTTCTTATATCATAATCATGGCTCCACGATCGTGACATGTATCTCGGAATGCAATAAAAAAAAATGTATGTATGTACATGGCAATATGAAATAGCACCGACATGTCAGATAACCATTAATGTGAACTTGTACGAAAGATTTTTTAACTATCAGGTCATCCTGTGGCTTAGACAAAATACATTAGGCTTTTTGAGAATGAGAGAGAAAAAATAATTTTGTAAATTACAACCTAGTGGTAAATATTCTCCTCCTCTCATCCTCCTGCAGTATGTAGTTGTGTCATTTCAGTGTGCTTGTAATATAGAATCTCACTCAGTGACAGAGTTAATGCCGGAAGTGTCCAGAATTATTTGAATTTTTAAGCTAGGACACTAACTGACAACGTTGTTTTGTGAACAACCTCCAAGACTTTTCTCATTTAATTTAATATTGGTTCATTTGTAGAAATATAATATTTTGGCCAAATTCCCCTTTTTCTCGTCGCTTCCACAAAATGAAACATGAAAATAAGTAATAAACCTTCTTCCGGGAGCAACAACAGAAACTGGATGCCGACAATACACTTGCTGACCTCCGCTGCGGTATTTGAGTCGCCTTATTTTCCGGTCTGTCTGTGAATCCGTCATGAACATGTACATTTCCAAATCTCTTTATCTTTTTTTTCAAATTAATAAGTGAAAAAAGGATATTGGCAACCTTGTTATTTTATACCGTCTACACTTTGCTTTCTACAAGCTCATTTTCTTTTGATGAAACCTGTACATTATAAAACGAATGTGAGTAAGTTTGAAGAGGAACAAAATATGTGCATAACTAAGTATCATGCTGCGCTGTGATATACTGAGTCCGTATATATTTTTTTGAAATATGATCTGGTTTTGAGGAAACTTGATCGATATTTATGATATAAAAAGCAAATGTTACTTTAAACTGGAGCCAAATTTTCTCGTAATTATGAATCGCCCAAGAATTTCTCAGGTATGGATTAAGATGTATTCGATATTTGCAAAGGGATGCAAAACCTATACAATTATAGTTTGATAGTTTGAAATATTGGCAAATTGAAGCAGTTCTTTTAAATTAATTTTTAATGTATTATATGATTATGATAAATATTTCGTTAATTAGTGAAGTAAATTGCAAATGTTTGCACATCACATAAATCATTCAATTTTACCAAGAAATAAAGTACAAAGATATTTCTTCTTGTTACATTTCAGTGCAAATTGGAAGACTTTTGGCATTTGTTTGTAAACTTCTGTGAAGAAAGGACAAGCATTTTTTTCTACACTTTGATGAGACTTTCAGAGAGTTTTTCCTTAACAGTACTCTAACTTCAAATCTGTACACGTTAAGCAATTCACCCGTCCTTACTTTTTTAGCGAAACCTGTCAAATGCATCATATCAGGAAGTTATTTACCTGTTTCTTGTCGACCAGAGATTTTCTTTTTAATCCCAATGACCATTTTTTACCATCTGCACACCACTGTGTTCGAACCCACCAGTTTAAAGGGAATCTATTAGAAAAAAGTTTGATTTTCCAGGCAATACGTCGATTAGCTCTATATAATGTTTTTGTTTCTAATGTTTTCAGGTCGGAGACCTAATAGACCTTAAGTTCTGCACTCCGGCTATGGCAAGTCAACTTAACATTTAATCAAGTAGCAATGGTGATCCAATGTATTTCATAAACTTATTGAAAATGTGTTATAATATCACGTAAGACATAATATTTAAGACAATAAGGTATAAGATACATAGATGTATGTTATATAATTTTATGAAATACGGGATCGGCATTGCTCCTTGAATAAATGATACGAGTTAGCTTGATGATCCTTAGGAAATGCTGATACTGAGGTAACTGTGACAGTCTTATTCTTCGGGTTATGCATTGGTCTTTATGTTTTCTAAAGAACACAATACACAAAGTTTTCTTTGTTAAATAGTCAGAGAGTTGAAATACTGCAAAGACTGAATGTCAAAGTTACGTGTAACCAACACACGATGGTCCGGTACTTGATAAACATGCGTATTGTTTTGTTCAAAAAGAAAAAGAAAAGGTTTATTCTGACGTCACAATATACAAAGCCGACTTGTGACTCTGACCACACGCAAAATTTCCTGACACGACGTAGATTTTAATTGGTCAATGACTTTGTCTTTTCGGGAAATGTATCTATGTGTGAATATATTGCTCCCATTAAAAGGACGCCCTCATGAGAATGTCAAGAAAGTAAGACATAATCGTGAAATATATATATATTTAACAAGAAAACATTGGTTAGTCCTGTCAGTGTGTGATGCAGAACGAGTAAGTGACATAAAGAGTAAATTGTATTTATTTGTGTAAAAATGTAAAAGCTATGTACGTTGCCCCATACGCACATTTTTTTCTTCAAAAATAACATATTGGTAGTTTAGCCTACCCATATTGTCGGTGAGTAATTGAGTGTTGTCATCTGTCAGACTTATAAGCTCATAATATGCTTAAAGGAACTCTCTTATAATCAACCGAAAGAGAAAGTCCAATTCTCAAATTGTTCATGTTTGCGCAACATGAAGAATTGGAGAGTGTCATGGCCACATTTCAAACTGATTTTGAAGACTCACTCAGTTATCAATTGCGGCTTTCATTCGAGTAAATTTTATTTTAAAACGGATCATCTCATCAGCATAAGAGACATTAGTTAACCATGTTTAATATTCTGTGAGAAATAATTTAGACATCACTATCTATACATTTTTTGTCTGTGTATTATTCGGATTTTTTTATATTCAATTTCAGGCCGACTTTTAATATTCGCAGTTATGTGAAAAAAATGCGGTAATTATTTGAAGGAATTATTCTTGTCAAGAAACCGGACACATAATATATGAATATGAGGTTAAATTAATTAATTTGTGTTCAGTCGGTTTAGCACCAAGCGTTGACAACTTTGGAAAAGCTCAAGCTCAGTGACCCGAGTTATCTCCCTTACACTGTTAATTCCTAATTAAAAACAACAAACACGTTTTTTTATGTAATGCAGAAAGTTTATCACAGATCAACAGCTTATGTGGGAAATATCAACCGTATTTACAGATTGAGCAATGTACAGATGTATTTTAACAAAAAAACAAATACCTTATACAAAAAAATGATATATAATAAATATATATATACATATATGAAATCTTAATATGAGAAATTTTTATATAACTTATATATTATGTACACCAACCAACGGTTTCAGACATAAACATAACATAGAAAATATATTCTGTAGAATCTGGTTTGAAACCTTACCAAACTGTGGTCTTTCATAGCGCTCCCATATAACAACATACTTTATTTACCATGCATTGAATGCAGCCCTTCCCCACCCTACTACTACAGGCAGTTAATTCAATCTAGAATGGTCTACATTGGCAGTATGAAACATATTGATTGATTAATTATTTATTTAATTAATCACTGATTTTATTTTTATTTCACTTCTTTGATATTAAGTTCATACACTTTAAACTTTGTACTCCTTGATGTAGTCGCAGAGTCCAGTTCCATTATACAGGATGTGTTTACCAGTGTTTATCCAATAATTCCTCATCGAACCATCGAACTATTCAGTTTAAATGGAGGCTATCAATTCCCTCGGAGGAGGCTGGGTCAGGGCATTTTCCGTGCTGTGTCCAAACGTCTCACCGTATCTGAACTTTTGGCCTGTGAAATTAAAACACGTGTAAATATAGCACACTTAATACACATGAATGTCTTTCTTTTAAGTATTTGTAATGTACTTCGACAGCTACCAACACATGACAAGTCGTTAATCTTCCTGTACCTACACAAATCGGTAATCTTCCTGTACCTACACAAATCGGTAATCTTCCTGTACCTACACAAATCGGTAATCTTCCTGTACCTACACAAATCGGTAATCTTCCTGTACCTACACAAATCGGTAATCTTCCTGTACCTACACAAATCGGTAATCTTCCTGTACCTACACAAATCGGTAATCTTCCTGTACCTACACAAATCGGTAATCTTCCTGTACCTACACAAATCGGTAATCTTCCTGTACCTACACAAATCGGTAATCTTCCTGTACCTACACAAATCGGTAATCTTCCTGTACCTACACAAAGCGGTAATCTTCCTGTACCTACACAACGCGATAATCTTCCTGTACCTACACAACGCGATAATCTTCCTGTACCTACATAACGCGGTAACTGACTGAAATTAAGAGAATCATCGGAAAGCAGCAACATTTCCCAAGGGCTGTGATCTCACTGACATAGACCTAGTACTACAAACACAGCAGTGATATAGCGGATAGGAATTCGTCTACTTGACAAGAGGAAAACCATTTAACCGGTTCCCGCTTGATTATATGATTATGTATTGGTAAAAGGGTTTTAAAAAAAGTACACCAATACATTGATACGTTTCTGGCTTAACATGACTATAAAACATTAAATCTATAATATACGTTTTTGGCTTAACATGACTATAGAACATTTTTGTAAAATATAAGTTTCTAGCTTGACATGAGAATAAGAACCGTTAAACATGGCTTGACAAGAGGACCTGGACATCCATTACACACCATTACAATCAAAATGATATATAGCTTAATTTGCCATGAATCGTATACATCATTTCAATGGTTTGCATTTTCTATGTTTGACCACGGACTTAGACAATCTAATTCCGTGGTTTGACATTGCTAGGTTAAATAGTAGCTTAAGAGAGGTGATGACGTCACAGTGTTCCTACGTACCAGGTATGTGTCCGGTATAGTGAGGCACCAGGCCACTCTCCACAGGGTAGATGGGTTTAGTGTTGGTCATCTTGGGAGCCTCCCTCCTCAGGTTTGCATCCCTGTTCATGGCGTCCTTCGTGTTCTTCAGGTCGTTGGTGAATTCATTTAGACCTTGGTGCGTTATGATGGGATAGCCCATCCCTAACTGACCTCTGCTTCGTGGCACGAACCCGGTATAACCTAAATACATAAAATAATTTACAATAATTTAACATTAACAAATCAATAAGTGTACATTTTTTTCAAAATATTTGACTCATGATGATTGATAACGATTTATAGCATTTTTTTCCAATTTCAATAAATTTTATTGTCAAAGGAGAAATGGATTGGGCAGCAGGCATAGCCTATTTAGGCCCTCTCCAAACATAGTAACAGACAGTGGTACAAGCATAGACATAGACATAGACATTAGAACACATACAAACACATATAAACAAGTTGGTATTATCAAATTAATAATCAAATTAGGGGAAACAACTACTAACACTCATTTTTATTATAATTGAATCTAATGGTTTAAATTCTAACCTTTTATACTGATATTGAAAAAGACATATAATATATATATATATATACATATTATGAAGAGAAAAGAAAAATAATTTATTGATGGAGCTGCATGTATAAACATTTGATGGGATTACATTACCGCACCCAACAGATACAGGCCAAAAAGTCCATTGTATCACACAAGGCCATCCACTGATGAGTTTGGAAAAAACCAGGTTAGATATATAATTAACATGTTGTAAAGCTTTATATTCTTATTTATGTAGTTGTTTCCCATTTTTTTTTAAATAAAATAGTATAACTGGTCTTCTGAACCCCAGCCCCCCTCACTAACAATATTTCAAAATAAACAATGAAGACAAATAGGAAATATTAATATTAATATTCATGTACCATTTCTGGAAATCAGAAGAATTACATTGAGAAAAAATAAAATGCAAATAAATAAATAAAGTGTAAATAAATGAAATATAAAATTTCAATCAAAATTGAAGTTAAATGTCCTTAATCTTCTAGAACTTAAAATGTAATTGTATATAGATAGGAGAATATGTTTGTTTTCATTTTCATCGCATCTATCACAGCCATTTAGCATGACATCTAATGATAAATGGTTGTGAGTTTCATGGAATATATTCTGAAAAAGTAGAATACGATCTTCAGTGTATTTGATTTGTAGCAAATCAAGTGACACACAACACATAAGTACATGATACCCCCCAATCACCTATAACCTTAACTAGCATGTCACGTACAGATCCCACACTTATGACTTGCCCGACATGAAACACTTGACTAACCTACCCGACATAAAACACTTGAATGACCTACCCGACATAAAACACTTAAATGACCTACCCGACATAAAACATTCAATGACCTGCCCGACATAAAACACTTAAATGACCTACCTGACATAAAACACTTGAATGACCTACACGACATAAAACACTTAAATGACCTACCCGACATAAAACACTTGAATGATATGTCCGACATAAAACACTTGAATGACCTGCCCGACATAAAACACTTGAATGACCTACCCGACATAAAACACTTAAATGACCTACTCGACATAAAACGCTTTTATGACCTACCCGCCATAAAACATTCAATGACCTGCCCGACATAAAACACTTGAATGACCTGTACGACATTAAACACTTGAATGACATATCTGACATAAAACACTTGAATGATATGCCCGACATAAAACACTTGAATGACCTACCTTACATAAAACACTTGAATGATATGCCCGACATAAAACACTTAAATGACCTGCCCGACATAAAACACTTGAATGGTCTATCTGACATAAAACACTTGAATGACCTGCCCGACATAAAACACTTAAATGACCTACCCGACATAAAACACTTAAATGACCTGCCCGACATAAAACACTTGAATGACCTATCTGACATAAAACACTTCAATGACCACCTGACATAAAACACTTCAATGACCTGCCAGACACAAAACACTTGAATGACCTACCTGACATGAAACATTTGTTGGGATTTCCGTTATCCATGTGGTAAGGAGACTTGGAATGCTGGAAGCCATTGGCGGATATGTATGGCTTTGGTTCCTTAGCAACAGCTGTTAGTGGGGTAAAGTATCGACTTCTGATTGCCTGTAAATTGAGATGAAATGGTTTTACGAAATTTAATAAAAAGTTTATGTTTACCAACACATAGTTAAATAGGTCAGCATGATCTTGTTTTAATGAAGGTGTAACTTCTAAAAAGTCATCTTCGCCTAAGGATTACATGTGTATGGTAATCATATATGTACCACTCCATTGCATTGTCTAAATATAAGAAGTTCGAATGACATTCATATCAGGTATAAATGCCATGGCCCACGTGTTGATATTTATTATTATGACGTCATTATTGTAACGTTGTATACCACTGACCTCCCTTGAAGATGGCCGAACACAGTTCATACATTTATTAGATCTAAATTCTGAATTTGGATTAATAAACGTTATTTTCAATGTAATTAAAAATGTTAATAAAATGGTATATAAGTATGGGACAGCTTTCATAGTCAACATGAATGCCAACTGGAAATGAAAAATTCAACATGAAGCGCGGATGTAATTTTTCATTTTTAGTTGGCATTCACACTGAATATGAATGCCAACTATTTACTTACAGACATAAACATATGTTTGCAATCTTGCATTTAAACATTTAAAGACAACTATCAAGCATGCTTGTGTCACACTTACAGGCATAGGTTTGCCATCCTTGTCTAACACCTTGCCCTGTTGTAGCTCGGCTGTCAGTTTCAGGTCTTGTAGCTTCTCGTTGTGTAGCCGATGATCATACTCAAAGTCTGAGATGGCACTGCGACAGTTAATGGCGTATCTGTTTCCAAAAAAGTGCTGACTTCTGGGGATAAAACCTGACAAAGACATCAGAAAGAAGGGTAACCATTGTGTTTCAACTGTTTGAATTCGCGCTACGTTATCTTCATGTTCTGATTTGGCGATTTCACACAGTGTTGAATTTCGTGCAGTGCTGAATTCGGCATAGTGTTGAATTTTGTACAGCGCTAAATCTCGTGCGGTGTTGTTTTTTCTGTGCTGAATGTCGCACAATGTTGAATTACGGACAATGTTGAATTCTGCGCCATGCTGAATTTCGTAGTATTAATTTTGGCATAATGTTGAATTCCCCCCGATTTTGAAACCGTTCAATTTCGCGCCGTGTTGAGTTGCGCGCATTATGCAATTTCCGTGTTTAAGGTACATGTATATAGTGTTGTTTCAAATTTTTACTGAAAGATTTAATTTGTGGACAAACAAAAGCATAGGTATTGAACAAAATAGTACTGCAGTGAACATTACATACCTAAAACGAATATATTGTGGTTCACTATAGGATCCTAACATACATGTCCATTAAAACCACTTTATATAATGATATTTTGCAAAGAGAATATCAAAAACTATGTAATTTTAATTATCTAACATTTACAAATGTTAACAACGCTGCATTTTCAAGAAAATAATATTTTGGATATAATTTTATATTCGATAAACTATGTTGATATTTTACTTTTAAATAAACTTAATATAATAACAACAACTGTCTAAACGAAATAGTATAACTCGGCGAAAATGATACATCCACTAAAATCATGAAAATTACAGTCACTGACCTGTATAACCCGGCACCATCTTCTCCAGAAGTTTCTGGTCTCCCCAGCTTTGTGTGCGGTTCTTTAGGAGGTTAGACTTGGAGTGGGTAGGCTCTGAACTAGGACGTGGTTTGGACAGATCGGCTAACACTAGTTTTCCCGAGCTGGCCACAGCGTCGTTCTCGAGAAGACGAGACGTGGTACGGCCAAATGTCTCGCCGATCTGGTACTTAAATTGCGGACAGAACCCACCGTATCTGTAAGTATAGAACGGAAAGGTGTGTTATTACATAGATAGTTATCACGTATTCCCTACGGGAGCTAATTTGTGTCATTTGTTTTTGCCGCGAAGAAGACGAAAGAAGTTAAGCCAAATTACGAAATATAATTTAATAATCATCGATCAGCATGTGTCGATATTGTCTTCTACACAACCTCTTCATTTTGTTACATCGTGGTGAAATATCGAAATAATGAGGTTTTTAACAGAAAAAACTCGTTTACGGAAAGTGCCAACGTTTCCCGATTGGATGAAGGGTACCGGAATCGGCCGAGGTTAGCCGAATGATCAACGTCATTGTCATTTCAAACAATAATACTCTGAAATTGGAATTGATTTGTTTAACTTACAAGCTTGGAGTCTGCATCAAAAACACTATTGATAAAACCGTTCCACGGAGTACAATGCTTAGAAACTAAGCGTTCACACAGGAGTATTGAACGGAAGTGACGTAGATGTAGATCCTCCGCGGGAATGTATATCAATACTAATGTGTGTGCTCGTGTTTAAAACATTATGATCAATCGATACGCTTTGTCGAGAACATTTGTATGATGACACGTGGGTATTCCTAGACTTTACGAATTGTGGTATAAAACAAGGCTCTTATACAGGAACGACGACAATTAAGTTATGTGAAATGGGACAAGCTTCCAAAATTAAAACTTTTACAGATACACAAATTTATTCTCTGACAATATACAGAAAATATGTACAGAATTTAGAATCCTTTGGCAGTCAGCTCATAATATAAACATACCTAATTAAAATTGTTATTTTAGATTTCATAGCTGTAGGTTTTCGTTTAGTCCTGGTTCTATTGCTCTCACATGCTTTTCTAAATGGGGGCACCAAACTTGATATGCGTACTATTCCGTCTTTGCGTATTGCAGAGTTATCTTCTCTTGGGAGCAGGTATTGATTGTTACGTCACTTGTTTGTGAGAGTGACGTCATCAATTTTTGAGAAAACGACGTAAATTTCTCACACAAACCAATGACGTAACAATCAACACCTCCTCCCAAGAGAAGATAACTCTGCAATACGCAAAGACGGAATATATGAGGTCTAACTAATGCTGTGTACAGCCATCTAAAATTATGGATGATCATGTATTCTTTATTAATGTTTTCGCATTTATGCTTATAAAATTTTAGTTTATCATCCATGGAGACTGATGTATTTTTCCGAGTCTACGAGTTGTAATGGCGGTGAACGTTCCACCAGGGTGTGGTTAAATCTATAAATATTTACGTTTCCCACACGCATCATTTTACGTTTATCCTGATGGAAGTGTAGCTGCCAGGTTTCTGACCATTTTTAATGAAAAGATAGCCTACTATAGAACTACGCAATCTTGTTAATTATATATTGCTCTGAAAGCTGACCGTTACGGCGCTTGTTACAGTTGGCATACCATTTATGTATATTATAGAAAGAAGTGGTCCTAGCAATGATCCCTGTGGAATACCAATTATTACTGGATTTCATTGAGACTTTTCTCCGCTCTCAACGACTATTGTTTTACTACCAAGGAAGGAAACCTTTATCCAATTGTTCAGCAATACCATATTTCGCAAGTTTACGTAACAATCGGAGACGAGAAACTTTATCAAAGGTCTTCATAAAATCGCAATATATTACATCATTAAATTATCTGTTCATTTATCCATGACTTTGGTAAGCTGAAGTACTGTCGATCTGCCATCAAAAAATCCAAACTGAGCTTTGACGATATTTTTTTATCTCATAGACTCATCAATTCATCCCTGATTATAGATTCTAGTGTTTTACACCAAACGCTAGTCAAACTAATTAGTCTATAGTTCGAAGCCTCCTTCTTGTCTCATTTCTTAAATATTGCCGATATCGGGTAACATTTCCAGTCTTCGGATAATTTCCAAGTATCAGTAGGTGTTATATATATATCAATGTTAGCGAACATCATATAATATCAGAAGTCTCTTTTAGAATTCTAGGACGAATCATATCCGGTCCTGAATATTTTGAAATTATGTGGGTTTTTAAACTTCTTCTGTATGGCTTCCGGAGTAAATTGAAGACTTGTAATGGGATCCATATTTATCTTTTCTAATTCTGACAGAGTTTAATTATTGATCTTCTGTGAAAACAGCCTGAAAGAATTCTGCGTGTACATGGGCTAAAAAGGGAAGCATAAAAAGTCCTGTAGCTTCTTCCGTTTAAGAAGTCTTTTAAGGAAACGTCGCATGCAACGAGGAGGACTAACTCCTTAAAAAACCCATTGGCAAGTAACGGCGATAGCCAGCTTCTTTAAATAAAACTCACATGTAGCAAAACCAGATGAACAGCGTTCGAATGCACTAACTCATGTGCAACGGACATGACCATCCAGAGAGCGTAAGCGAGTGCAACCCCTTGAGTATCGATGATTGGGGATGGCGAGCTTACAGAAGGACTAATATGCCACGTCAATGAGGAGAGCTAGTTTCTACGAGAAACTTGGAGAGAAAGAAAGCTTATCTGATTACTGGAAAGAGAGTAGTGTGCTTCTACCTTGAATCGAATGAACAATCACTAGCTTTCCCTGCGGTCTGCCGCTCTACCAATATCAATTGTGCAAACTCAAAGGAAGAAGCTTAGAACAACACTAACCCGATGTACAAATAAAATCTGCTATACTTCTCCCCTCTTTATAATGTGTTCGCCCTCGAATACCGCTAACACAAATCTTAAAACTCCCTGTCACGACCAGGAGAGACACAGACACAATTTGCAACAGGAAAAAAGAGTGTTGTGTTTCGTCGGGGGATCGAATCCGAGACCCCCAGTTCTACCCCAATTTACGTTTTTGCGGAAGGTTTCATGTCTTACATTCGCATCGCATTTTGTAGCCAAAACTCGGGTAGTAGACCATTTTATACGGAAGTTTACAGTTCTATCGATAGCGCTTAGGTTTCCACTACCCCGGGTAAGTTACCCCAATTTTCTTTTACTGTACATGTTTCCGGGAAGGTTCTTGTCTTGAATTTGCATCGCATTTGTAGCCAAAATCGGACTTCTGGTAGTAGACTATTTAATAAGTATGCTCTTACTTACATTGGGTCGTCATCGAACCTGACGGTTTATTGAGTATTATCGATAGCCATGAGGTTTTCACTACCTCGGGTAAGTTACGCCAATTTCCTTTCATCAAAGATTATCTCCCTTTGGTATTGCAGGTATTAATATTAAAAGAGCTATATTGCGCTATGTTTTGGTTCAATTTCGTAAGAATCAAAGGTTCTAAGTCAACTGAGACGTCTAAATATTCACTATAAAAACTTGTTTAGAGCTCGGGGTTGCAGGTTATCAACCATTTCTTTATCTTTAAAACCCTGGAAAACAAACGCAGACGATTCAAGTTCATATTGCTGAAAAGAAACCAAACGCATGGCGCCATGATGATTATTGATCATAACAGGAATTTAAACGCCAAAGCATGGTTATCTGGAGATATAAGAGAAATTTCTTCTACACACATGTTACAAAAATAAGAAATATATGTACTATATAGTATCAGACAGTAGCCTAGGTGAGACACGGTAATAACATCACTGTAAGCGGAGGAAGGATCCTGTTGTCTTTTTTTCTTTTGGTCAATGGACGTTAAATTATTGTACAAAAGCTAACAAGCCTTGACAAAAATTGACACAACTTTAAACATACAACAACCAATAATTTCACTTGGTTTCAACAATACTTCTCCTGTGTATTTCACGGACAATGGTCGAGGTGACCATACGACTTTACTACAGGCAAAACATGATAGCCTTCAGCAGGCTACAAACACTTCAATGAATAAGATCGATAAGCATTTGAAAAACACCGATTGTTTAAATCTACAAGATTATATGAAAGAGATTAGGTTGATCGGTTGTTAAAATAAGATAATCCTCGTTAGTCTATTATAAAGATTAAGCAACCAAACACGCGTTCACCAAAATGATTGTCGAGTCTTAAAATTCAATTATCGGAGCAATAGAATAAAGGGTTAAGCCTACACACAGGCATTTCTGAAAGTCCGTCATCGATTTTGTTACAAGCTATTTAGATCGTTAAATGGGTAATTCTGTCAGGCCAAGTTTTTAAACACAGTCACAGAACAATACACATACCACTACAGTCTATACTGTAAGTCGATATCTGAAAAAACATATTCTAGTATCCGCCATTGAAGAACTATGTCAGCTAGCAACAATGAAATACGGTTATATATAACCGACTATTCCTTATACTATGTAGAACAAATCGATCACAAAAGAATACTTTAGGAGTCGATGAAAACACATGAAGTTGTTATTCTTATGATTTATACTTCTAAGAAAACATTTTCAAATATACTTTTCAATATCTCAAAATAACATTTGCAGAAATCAATTTCACTGATCGTTTTAAGCCGCTCTAAATTTAAGGTAGTTATTTCAACTTTTATATTTCTGAGTAAATGTTTCGTTAAGTTTTAGTATTTTTCATATAATACACTTAATTCTTACTTAAAATCATGTTTGTCTAGTGCGTGTGAAAAAGTTAGTTATTGAAGTGTAATATCTAAAGCAAGCATTATCTTTACAATCTATGCCGTTCCGATGTAAGTAGCATTTGGAATATTCATAGAGTTGACATACATTGTCTTTTCAAATAGAGTATTAGAAAAATATCCAAACGAAGTTTCAATATAGTTTCAAAAAGTTGATAACACGTCTGTTTAGCATGTTGTAAACTTTGGCACAGACAAGGTGATCTACTTTAATCCTTCTAGACCACTGTTAACTTGTAACACCTCTCACAAAAGAAAAGAAAACAGTTGATTTAGAAATTTAATTCAAAACGAAAACACACAGTAAAAAAGTCAGCAGTGAAACTGAAGTACTCATATCTTATAATCAAATCAGGATGAACGGTACCAGCACATCCATGTTATGATATCAGTGTATAGCCTTGTCGGCCACGATTATT